TATCAGCAGTGTGCATTTTACCTAAGCATTTTGTATACTCTCAGTTATACTGTCCATTTTTCTCCTCACAGAGACTGACTCTTACACAAAAGGATTCCATGACAGGTAAGACAGGATTTCTCAAACCCTGTGTAGAAGCAGAACCTAAAAGCATTTCTTCCCAAGCAGCCTGGTACTTCATCTGGGATTTACTGTTAACTAAATCATTAATTTTTAATTAAAATGTAAAAAACCAAAAACAAAATCAAAAAAACCAAAACCCAAACCAACATACTTTGAAGAAAATATTCCCCAAGCAGTTGTCAATACCTGTGGCTACTTCACAAAAGCAGCCTGTTCTCATTTTGTTTCTATGCAACATTCTTATCAGACCCATACATTTTTCACACAAGATATCCACAGCATGTGCTTATTCAAAATTCTGTATTCATGTACAAAATACTAAGGAAATGAAAAAAGGACTTTTCTCCTATTTTTACACTCCTAAGTGACTAACCAAGACAAATATCAATTTCTGTAAGAATTGCTTGAAAAATTTCAACATGTTCTTTTCTTCTTTCTTTTGAAGTGTTAATTCACTGTCCTGGTTTTAGCCAGGATGGGGTTAATTTTCTCAGTAGCTAGTGTAGTGCAGTGTTTTGAATTCAGAAGTGATAATACATTGTTGTTCTGGTTTTGCTGGATTGTGTTTATCATAAACCAAGGACATTTTCTTGCCTGTGTCTCACGCTCTGCCAGTGAGAAGATACACAGGAAATTGGGAGGGAGCATAGCCGGGACAGGTGACTTGAACTAGCCAAAGGGATATTCCCCACCATGGCACGTCATGCCCAGTGTTCCAGGCCGGAAGGGGCCGATCCTGGGGGAGGTTCGGGGTGCGCCGGTCCACGGGTGGTGAGCAATTGTATTGTGCATCACTGATTTTGGTTTTTTTCATTATCTATTGGCATTGTAGCTCATTCTGTTCTGTATTGTTATTAAACTGTCCTTATCTCAACCCACATATTTTACTCCAGTTGTTCTCCTCCCCATTCCTCCGGGTTGGGGGGGAGGAGGAGGGAGTGTAAGCAGCTGTGTGGTTCTTGGCTGCTGGCTGAGGTTAAACCACGACATGCACTGAACTTAAAATTATCATGGAAAATTATTTTGATTGATCTTACAATATGAGCTCCAGTCAAGCCAGAGAATAGGCATCTACAGCATCAAAGTCCCAACTGGTAAAGAGGATAAGGAAAAGTAAGGATTTTAACTGATTCTGACCTTAATCCTGTCCAAAGACTCACATTTGTGTCACTAAAATAAGGGTTCCCCTCACTAAGGTTAGCAATCTGCTTTTTAGTTTCCCCATTCTTGCCAGATTCAACCAAAATATCATGAACTGCTTTGGCAGAGTCATCATCAGGATGTTCATATTTTCACAGGAATATCAGCAACTCCAGCTCTCCTATAATGTAGAACTATGGAGAGAACAGAAATCCATGGAGTATTCAGACCATACATTGCAATCCTACATTAGGATTTGTACATAACACATACTGCATTTTAGGAACAAAAAATTCCCATGTGTGAAGTGGAATTAAAAGTTTGATCTCATGATAAGCTTTATGCGAATAAATAATATTTTGCAATTCATTCAGACATTGATAAATATTCTGGGAAATTACCAAGACAGGATTTGATGCCAGCATAGGACTTCCCATGGCAATATGTTAGCAAAACCATAAAATTTATAGTGCAATAAGTCTTCCCTATTAGAAAACCAGGACAAATGTGTTGTAAAATCTCTGTGAAAAAAAATCAGAAATACTAAAAATCAATACCTAATTCTGTATGGCTGGAAAATGCTTTCAACACTCTCAGGGTTAAACCCCAGACGGCAACTCAGCCCCATGCAGCCACTCTCTCACTCCCCCAAACAGTGGGATGAAGAAGAGAATAAAAGTTAGAAAAGTCATGGGCTGAGATCAAGACAGTTTATTAATCTTATACATAAAGCAAAAGCCACATATGCAAACAAAGCAAAACAAGGAATTCATTCCCCATCTCCCATGGGCAGGAAGATGCTCAGCCATCCCCAGGACAGCAGGGCTCCATCACACGCAATAATGACATGGGAATGCAAACAATATCACTCAGAATATCTCCCCCTTCCTTCTTCTCCCCAGCTTTATATGCTGAGCATGATGCAATATGGTCTGGGACATCCCTTTGGTCACTTGGGGTCACCTGTCCTGGCTGTGTCCCTTCCCAACTCCTTGTGCACTCCCTGCCTCTCACTGGTGTTGGGTGGGAGGAATAGAAAAGGTGTTGATTTTGGGTAAGAACTGCTCAGTGATAACAGAAACAGCCCTGAGTTATCAGCATTGCTCTCAGCACAAATCCAAAACATAAAACCATACCAGCTGCTATGAAGAAAATTAACTCTACCCCAGCACAAACACTATATCAAAAATGTATTATCAGCAGAATCAATAAAATTCAAAGGAAGCTTTCTGGTGTAAAGAAAAGGAAAAATAAAATCAAAGCTTTTTTCAAAAGGTGACTGAGGACGACACGGAGATGAAGGCCTGGCAGCTTTGGACTCTTGCCTTGCATCACGAATTTTATTCCAAAAAATATGTCCAGCTATCCCATTTTTTACAAAATGGTGCTACACAAATATTAAAAAAAATTGTTTACCAGAAGACTTAGCATATGAGGAAATACTCATCCAGGGCTGAAAAGGTTTCTACCCTCTAGCTATTCTCTCCACAATCAATGTACTATTCAGTTCCTATTGTACTAATTGCTGATCCAGTGTTAAGCATCCGATTTTCAAGAGACCACTTGTACACTTGGGCCTACACTGATGCAGCTAACTAAATGGGGATTTCAGTGCTCTCTCAAGCAGCTGACCTAAGAAGTTTATGCAAAGAAGATGACAGCAGAGCAGGAAGAATAAAGAAAGCAATATACAACCTGGTCTCTTTGGGAGATGAGTCATTTAGCAACTGTAACTGGTGCATACACATATGGGACAGGTGAGATTCCTTTGTTATTTAAGATCATATATCACAGTAACTAAAAGAAAACTACTGAATTGCTTCTGCCAGATGTAATGAATTAATAGTTTTCTCTTCCCCCTTTGGATTCAGAATTAATTCTTGGCCTATATTGACATTTCTCTCACTGGAAAATTTAATTTGCATCATTAAAGCCTGGAGTCTATTACATTTGCAACAGACACAGATGTGCACCAGAAAAAAAATAATAATTTTGGTAAATTTGTTAATATGATGATTATAAGTATTACTCAAAATTCTACTTAAACGGCAATAAGCTGCTTTAGTTAAAGTAAACCTTACATTAATGCCAACAGACACAAAATTGTATTTCACTGATAACAGATCTGACTTTTCACTTAGATTCTGATTGAGTTTAACCACATTTAACAGTAAGGGAGTTAAGTACTTTGCTGAACATAGACCCTCTTTCTTTATCTATCAGTCCGGTGGTGGCATTATGACTGATCTTACACGGTAGGAAACCAATACCTACCCCTCCCCAGATTCATTACTCAAAAAAATCATGTGTAAGTTGATACACTTTTATTTAACAGACATTTTGCTCTTCTAAATTAAAAAATCAAGGCCTTTTGCTTTATGTTAATAGTAAAAATACTAGCATTTCCATGAAAACATGATCATGCTCTTAAAATAAATTACTGTGATAAAAAAGAGGCTGTAGTAGCATTTTGTTTGATTTACTGTTAGATAATACCATGCAGCTCTGGTGACAGCCACTGCTCAACAATTTCACCAAAATTAATATCTTCCTGCATCCCTTTACATACATTTCAAGAGAATGACTTTGAAAAGATTCACAAACAACAGGCAGAGTGTGCGTGATACATTTTGGGTGCCTTGCATCAAATATAAAAATGCATTTGCAGGACAGATTTCCTAAAGAATTAACAGGCTGACATGAAGACAACCATCTGCATTAGAAGTTGGAGTGGTTTTAGGTACAAGTAGGTGATATGAGGCTACCTGACATCTAATATAAGACCACATTTTTATTTACACCTGAAAAGAACCAATTAAATTAATCTCCTAGAAACAGCCACAAGTAATAGCCCACCGGAAATCTTTAATCACTATTGCCTATATTTTAAAGATTTTCTTCTTCTTTGTTCTTCCCAATGTCATCATCACAACAATTTACACCTTCACTCTCTCAGTTCAGATATTGGCTGCGCCTTCAGAACACACAAAGTTATGATGCTGAATACTTAAACCTATAATTTGAAATTATTTTAACTGTCTGTGTCCTTAAGAACATTTGCTCTTGAATACCATCAGGAAGTTGGTCTTTTTCCCTTCCTCAAATATGAAGGTATGTTCCCTTCCACATGGCTGCTGAAAGACTGCAACAAAAGTACACAGAGCAGCATGTGCTAAATATCCACTGCAAATCCTCCTTAAACGCAAAACAAAAGACTCAAGGCAATAAGTACATGCACCACTTAACATGAGCAAAAAGAGCTTTAGACCCCTGAGAACTACTAGCACTCCAAACTTATAGTTAAACTTTCTGGCTTTTGCACTCATTGCTCCACAAAATCTCAGTCCTTAGATGGTTAAAAACTGTCCCCTCTCTTTTTTTTTTTTTCTTCAAATCTGCTGGAAATATACAATATACTGTAGTAAGGATATACTGTAATAGAACTGAAAAACTGCAGTACCAAATGAAGATATCTTAATTTTCTTCTTACTTTGAACATTTTTGGCCATCTTAAAAAGGGAAATATAACCTTAAGAAATTATCTCCATTTGCTGACTGGAACATGCACAGGCAACCATCTGTGATGTCACAGAGTGGCCAGTCCTGGGGTGGTTGCCTACACACCCACTACACCAGTGGCTCAGGCAGCCACCACAGGGTGCAGGCCACAGACCTCTGGCCACCACACAAAATGCACAGCAGCTCCCACTGAAGCAGCTCCCTGAAGCTCTCCCACCATGGATATTGCAGCTCTTAGAAAGGGCTATAGCCTTGGCAAGACACTGGGAGAAGGCTCGTTTGGCAAAGTGAAATCTGCATACAGTCACAAGCTGAAATGCAATGTGGCCATCAAGATCATTGACAAGAAGAAAATTGCTCAGGGTGTCCTGGAAAAATTTCTCCCCAGGGAAATAGAGGCTTTGAAATGCTTGCACCACCCCTCAATCATCGAAACCTATGAGATTTTTGAGACATCAGTGGGGAAATTGTACATTGTGATGGAGCTTGGGGAAAAGGGAAACCTCATGAACTACCTTGAAACCAAGGGAGCAATGGAAGAGGACTTCGCTTCCAGCAAGTTCCAGCAGTTGGCTTCTGCCATCAAGCATTGCCATGACTTGGACTTTGCCCACAGGGACCTGAAATGTGACAATGTCCTTGTTGACAATTACCTTAACTTCAAGCTGACAGACTTTGGCTTTTCAAAACACTTGTCTCGGGATGAAAATGGAAAAATCATTCTCAGTAACACCTTCTGCGGGTCTCTTACCTACTCAGCCCCTGAAGTGCATCAGCACATTCCTTGTGACCCCAGGATTTCTGACATGTGGAGCCTGGGTGTCATCCTGTATATGATGCTCTACATTTCAAAGCCATTTGATACTTCCGATGTCATGCAAATGGTTCGGGTTCAGAAACAACACAGGATTCCCTTCCTCAACTCAAAACACCTGACTGCAGAGTGCAAGCACCTCATTTATCACTTGCTCCAGCCTGATGTGTCTCAGAGGATGTGCATAGATGAAGTTCTGAAACATCCCTGGTTGCAGACTCCAAAGTCTGCAGAAGCAGGCAAGCCCAAAACCTGTTGGAAGCCTGAGCAAAAGCAGCAAGGCAAATCCCATTCTGCTCATGCCAAGGGAGTGGAGAAAGAAAATGAATCCTCCTAAGGATCACTTCAATGGGACCACGAAGTCAGTCTAACTTGTGAACTGCATTAGTTTAAACTCCAATTGAAGACAACCTGTCTAAAATTCTGTGTCATGTCTCAATACAGGTATGGTTGTGTCCCTTTTTCTGCAAAGTGGTTTAACACTGTCAAGGTCAGGACTATGAAAGAGGTGGGGAAACAATGAGGGAGGAAAGAACATGTGAATAAATTGCACAGGAGCACTTCGTACGTAATACCTGAAAGAGGAATGTATCTCAAACATGAGAATACAATATTTTTTAATAGCTGAATATCATAACTAGTGCACTTCATAAAAATTTTAGAACTATTTCTCTACTTAAACTCTAGGGTCTGCCTGGAAGTAGTCTATGAATAATAAAATTTGTCTGATTTTCTCTTTCTTCCAATTCAGCACAGGTTTTGGTATCATTCAGATTTGAGTATTTTAACAAATAAATGTTCTATATATTCCATTTCCTTATACTTAAAAAATTGACAGCATTACAAATCAGTTGTAGAATAACCCAGGTTTTAAGTGAAAAGGAATGGGGGAAAAGTTTTCATTAATTAGCAGGAGAAATTTTAAATAATGCAGATGCAAGTGTCTGCTGTCTTTTAAGTGGAAAGTATTGGCTAAGGAAAAACATGATAAATAACAGGTTTGGTTTTTTCTATAACAAGAAATATCATATTAGACATTAGAAACAAAACATCTGACTTCAATGCTATCTATGGTTGTTTAGCCTCATAGACAAAAAATAATGATAATTATTTTGTTTGCATTACAGTACTGCAAGGCAGTCCTAATCAAGGATTATTTTACAAACCTGCAAAATAAGAAGTGCCCTGTCTGAACGGTTTAGTAATTTTACCTCTAGATCCCATAGGATTGCTTCAACTGGAGAAGCTATGCTAGCACACATTTACATTTCAACCACTTTCTTCAGAAAATCAAAAAAATTCATGTGAATAAAATTTGATCCTATTGGAGACTTTGGGAGCTTTACTACTCAATCTTCTCATATTCAAATAATTGTCTGTCACTAAAAGTAAAGTTAAACACATGTAATTTCAAAGGTCTGCTTGGCCAGAGACATTTTACCAGTTATCAGTCTACTAGGGTATCTATCCAACAACTGAGAATGTCTTGCATACCAACGATAATCTATTAATAATATATAGTATTGATTAGAAGGGGTCAAGCAACTACATTTAACCTTCTTTATAAAGCAGAGAGAAAACAAAGTGCTACTGTAAAGTAGCAAAGTGTCAAAAAGAACTCTAATGTACAATTTGACATGGCAGAATTTATGTTCAGCCATTATATCTTCCAGTACATTTTAAAGAATATATGCTACTTCCATCAAAATATTATGTATAAGTACCAAACATAAAATACTGCTATTGACAAAACCATCAGATAAAAAATTCCTTTGACCCACTAACCATAATTAAGCCCTATTATTTCCATTTAGTAAGTGTGGACAACTAAATCTATTCTGGCGGGAAAATACTTTTTGTTTAATGAGATAAAAGATTATTTTTGATGCTAAGAAATCAAATGCACTCTCTAATAATTACAAACCTTATTCTGTGTAGTCTTCTGCCTCTGAGTGAATTAAAAGATGGATGGTACAGCCATTCACCAGAGCTCTTACTATCCTTAGTAATCCAAAGGGATCCTAAACAAAATACAGCTCTAATTAACACTCATTGCTAGTGGTAGAACATTAACATGATGTATTTCCACTGCCATACTGTCTAGAAGCCACAGCCATTGAAAAAGACACTTTGCAGACCAACAAAATGGAGTTTATAAAGTCTTTGAGATAGCAATTCAATATAAAGCTTAAAAGATGGTTTAAAAATGTAAGGTTTGCATTCATTTAACCTGGGACCAAAACACAATTGCAAAAAAGTGAAGCCATTTTCTTATTCTGCATTACCTTTGCCACTTACATGAAGTTTGTATTGTCAGACACCCAATAAAAGAGGAGACATGATAGGAAATGACCACACTGCACATGCCACAAAAGAAATTTGGCACCTCATCCTTATGTATTGGCTGCTCCTTAGACAGAATCATGAGCCTCGACACTGAGATGCACATTCATGTCCAGACTACTTTTAAAGCACAGCAGTTCAGGCACGTTCTTATTTCAGATTCTGTGTCTATGGCCAAAATACGTCTAAGTGCACAGTCAAAATCAAAAGGCAGGACAGCTGTCTTACCCAGAGGACTTTCTAGCTGAATTCATTATGGACGTGAGCTACTCTGTTAAGGAATAAATTTTACTATTCTCAATTACTTGGAAATTCAGTTTTATTCCAATCCTTTCACTAAGACAGGGTTTGCCATTGAAAACATATGTGATTTCTAAAAAACTTCTAGAGAAAGAGGACTTATGAACTGTATTGCTGAATATCAGAATAAAACAAACTAAGCATACTAAAAATGCAATTTCAATAGAATGCAAAAAACAGGATAAACTGGATACTGTCATAACTGTCAAAATGACAGCAGGTTTACTGCAGTTAAAGATTATAGAATCATTTCATCACTAAAGTTGGAAAAGACCTCTAAGATCATCAAGTCCAACCATTAACAAAACACTGCAAGATCCACTACTAAACCATGTCCCTAATAACCACATCTACATAACTTTTGAACACCTGCAGAAATGGTGATTCCACCACTTCCCTGGACGGCCTGTTCCAATGCTCAACCACCATTTCAGTGAATAAATTTTTCCTAACATCCAATCTAAACCTCCCCGGGTGCAACTTGAGGGTGTTTCCTCATGTCCTGTTTCTTGTTAACTGGGAGAAAATACTGGCACCCAGCTGGCTCCTTTCAGGTACTTCTAGAGAGCAAGAAGCTCTCCCCAAACATCCTTTCCTCTAGGCTAAATATCCCCAGTTAACTTAGCTGCTCCTCAGTTACCTCAGCTGCTCTCTATTTCCTCACATTTCAAGAGGAACTAGTACCATATACCTGGTATCGGTGAATGAAAATGAAGATTGTTGTAATTACTAATGTTTCAGATCAAAATTTAATTTGCACTTTCCTCTACACATGTCCATGATTAAGTGAATTTTAGAATCATCTTTTCCTTAGCAAAAAGTATTCACACTTTCTTATCTTACATTGTTAGCACTTAAAATTAATGTTTTTTATCTAACAGATACAGCTGTCATAATAAATGTTTAAGATAACTATTTAAACTTTGTCTGTATTAACATCATAATGTAAAGAATCTTAATTTTATTGGTCTTGATATATCTAAATTAAACTCACTCAGACATTTTATCTTGCTTGCCCTTAGAACAGTTAAAGAAATTCACTTTAAATATGAAATATATTTCTTCATTTTATGAGCTTTGCTCATTTCCATAGATTAAATTTGAAAATAACATTATTTCTAGTACTTACTAGAAGACTGATAATGAAACTATTGAATTAATTTTCTTTGTCCATGTTTAAAAATCACTTGAACTTTTTTGGAGTCATTGGATTCTTAGTTTTGCATAAATGACAATCTGCCTGAGTTTATGCTCATTGCTATGGCTTGTACAAATCATCATGGCCACTCAATTACAAAAGAAGTCTCAGAAATTTACAATTTGTCACAAATCCTCAGTACTATTCCTTGAAACATCATGTATATATATTGAAGTATATTTCAAGACTCAACATCATAAAGAAGTTTTGCAAGATTCCTTTCCAATTCCTGTAAGATTTTTTAGTTCAATGAGAATTACTTATTTTGCTCATACAGATACTATTTCCAAAACACAACTTCTAAGCATGATCTAGACAGTCTCTGTAGAGCTATTAGAAGTGCATCAAGCCACAAAATGGAGAACTCCTGTGGATAAATTTGGTGGGGGCACAAAATGGCACCTTTCAGTGGAACTGCACAGCATTTGCCAGCAGAAAAACACACCAATTTGACCAGGAACACAGTGTACAGGATGGCACATCAATGTCCTAGAGTATTTTCTGTAAACAGGCTTTATTTTTAGCTTGCTAGTTGTGTGACGGTGTGCTTCCCCCTCAGCCTGCCATAACTGCCAGTGGGGGTTGTGGTGCCTGAATCCAGTTCACTGTGAACTTGGGGGGATGGATGGCTACAGGGTAGGCAAGGGCTGTCTAGAATGGTGACCCAGACGTCTTGTCCATATGCAAATATCACTATTAGTCAATCATCTTGCTTTATAAATAGTGGACAGCCCAAGGCCTATTGAGCTCTCCCGCATGGCAGTGGGCTGCACACCAGGATCTCCCCTTGAGTAGGGACAACTCTCAAGGTTACTCCTCAAGTTTGAGAGATTCCTTACTACAAAAGATCCTCTGTAAATGATCAATAGCATGCTAAACTTTGAAACCTTAGCTAAGTGATACAAAGGATTGATTGTGCACATAGAATCCTTTAGACAAACCAAGTCTGGGACAAGGATTGGATCCAGCTACACCTAAACTCCTCTTGGAGAAGGAGCTTAGAAAGCAAGGGGGTTTTGTTAAAGCACTGTCACACCCACCATTAAGTTTTGTTAGCTTGCTGTTTCGTGTCGATAAAGTTTACTGTTGCTTCTCTCTTACAAGTGAAGTGCACCACTTCATTCATGACAAGGTGCAATGAATAGGGGAATAGGTAAGAGAGGTTCACAAAGCAGCATTGCAGGGAATAAACATTTGCTGATTTTCCTAACATAGAAACAGCAATAGCAAGTTATCTGTCACGCCACTTGACAGCTTGTGACTACCCTTCATAGTGGAAATATTTGCTACCTCAGAAACTAAAACTCCTTTAACCTGAACAGATATGAGCAGTCATTAGAGCTGCATAAAACCAACACAATCAAATGTTTCAGTTCAGATATTGTGGAACTTCTTGAGCACCTAACAGGCCTATGCTAAACAATGAACAAGATTATGCACAACAAGAAGGAGAACCAAAACGAAAATTGATTTATAAAGCCTGTGTGTTGGAAATTGTTCATGACAAGTTTTAATGGACA